TGATCAGCATCTATGGTTTAAACCTGTTATGCTAAGAAATTGTCAAAAGCAGTGTTGATTGTTCTGTTGGCTGGCCTTGTCTTCACGAGAGGCGCCATCACGACCGGGTGGGGATTGGGTCGTGACACCCCATTTCACCAATCTATCTTTGGTCGCTAGTCTTTGTTGGATGACTAGCCTTAATATAAACGTCCACTTTGGTTGCCCTTGATTGTTGCATACCAATCTTCTCCACATTACCTTTGGATATTCTCCCTGCATTTTTGTGTACATCCTCTTAATTGAAAAATTTTGCATTTTCCTGACCTCTTCTTCTTCTAAACCAGCACTATCAAAGTATTTCTTTGCTTGGAAGACTTGCTGCATGGCCCATGAAGCATTTTTTGCATTTACCTCCCACATAGCTTGCCCTTTTATATAATATGTATGAACCCAGTGCACCCACAACTTCTCTTTCCTTGTGCAGATGTTCCATAGCAATTTACATATCGCTGCTTCATTCCATAGTCCTATGTCCATAAAGTTCAAACCCCCTGCTGCTTTTGGCAAGCACAATCTGTTCCAAGCTATCAGGGCTTTCCTGGTAGGTTCAGCACTCCCAGTCCACAGGAATCTTCTACATATGGTCTCTATGAATTGAATCACTTTCTTTGGCAGTATGAACANACTGCATGATAGACAATCTCTTGGTGCTTAGGCTCAATTATATTATATATATTCCATACATGAATTAACATAGCATATTTTAATCTATACAGATATTCTCCCTGCTTTCCGGTGATATTGTGTCATCGGAAAGTTGGTAGAAACATAATAACATAATGGAGCATAATTTTCAAGAATATATAATGTATATTATAAAAATACCTTTATTTAAATAATTATTTTTACATTACGTGCATGAAATATATATTTTACAACCTTTATTTTCTTTCATTCTGAATTGTGTAAACAAATTTTGAATTTTTGTTGTTAATACTAGAATTATTATTACCAATAAATTATTCTAATTAATTTTTTTTACGATGCTCATTATTTTGTTATTCCAGCATTATATATGCTTAAATAATTTTTATTGTCTCACACATGAAAATGTGTAAGCATCTATATTCATCTCTAATTATTTGTTTCACAGTTCCATCTTACAAACTTTCATATTACTTTATGTACTTTCTANCCCTTACGGACTCATAAATTGAGCTAACCTCGATGAGGACGTCGAGTTTCAAAGGGTGTGGGAAAGAAGTAAAATAAAATCAGATAAAAAAGGATGGAGCATATTACGTGCAATCATCAACTCTTGGATAGTATTACGTGTGTCCTGAAATAGGGGAGGAAGGCTCTTATATTCGGTCAATAGAACCTGCAACATCGAAAGAAGATAATTCGATGTTAAGAATAAAGAGAACAATTAACGAAGAAAGAAGAAGAAGAAGAAGAAGAAGAAGAAGAAGAAGAAGAAGAAAAAGAAGGAGGAGAAGGAGGAGGAGAAAGGGGATTGAAGTTGTTTAAAAAGTGGGTACAAGTTAAAACTTAAAAAAAAAATGAGTATAGGTTAAATGGGGGCGACCAAATACGGCGCTCCGTACAATTTTTACCATTAAGTTTGATTTCAAATGGATATAAAGTTATTTCATAATTTGGAAAAGAAACATAATTTGTATCTTTGTCTATATTCTAATTCATAGAGACATTACTTTTTATGGTACTCATTCTAAACTTCTACGTCAAATAGAAGTCAGTTAACATAAGCCTCTCCCGATGTTGGGCCTGTGCTTAACACGGGCATCCTCTATCTAGTGGAGTAATTTTTATAGAAAAAATCTCGCTTTATACCTATTAATTCTAAACTATTTACCCTTTAATGTCCAGACCCAAATTATTTACTACTCCTATCCATGGGCCCAAACTATTTATCCGGTTAAAATGAAATAGAAGTGGAAGAAACCTGGTAAGCAGAACAACACCGGATATGAATTGGGGAAGGAAGTTAGCACGAGAGGGTTGATGCTTAGAGCTGTAAATGGAGTTCCATTCTTCCTCTATTTTCTTCTTCTTCTCTAAACCCATTAGTTTTCTAGAGTTAACACTTGAATTCGTTTCCATTTCTATTATGGGGTTTAATTCTAAAATGATTTTCTCTTATTGTAGTATTCTGGGGTTCATCATCAATGGCAATTCACACCTGTTTCTCGCTAATACCTTCTTCTTTCTCTTCACCCAAACTCATTTTTGAAGATTTATTGTACGAAAATTCAAATCCACCATTGAAGGACCTTGAAGCTTGAAACTCATAACTTGGTTTGTTTGAGTTTTTAATTATTTTGATCCGATCCTATATGAGTTTGTTTGGAGGTTGTAGCTAAAGTTTTAGTCAATTTGGTGGAGATTTTGTAGTAGATTTTAGAAGTTTGGGTTGAAATATAGTTGAACAAGAGAAGAAGGCGAATTTGTATTGTATTACTCAAATAGTATACAAATATACCATTTTGGTATACAATTCATTCCAACTATATACCCTATTAGTATAGCTATATACTATATTGGTATTATATGCTAGCTGAATCATTTTTTGGTTGTATTAGCTGCATTTATTAGTACAATATTTGATTTTCTTTTAATAATAGTAATATAGTTCAATATCTTGAAATACTTTATTACATTAATATGTGGTACACTATTTTTTTATTTTTCTCTTTATGCATGTGTGTTATGTAATAGTAGTATAGTCATATAGTTGCCGGAAATTAACCAGTAAAACTGTATAACATGTTGGTATAGTTATATGCCATATTGGTATCATATGGTAGTTTGAACATTTTTTGGTTGTTTTGGCTGCATTTTTAAGTGAATTCTATTCTGAAATTATTTATATGAACGTGATTTGCAGTGCTGGAAAATTTTGTGCTGATGGATATAGATTATGTGTATTATGTAATAGTTTTCATAATTATAGGCAATTGTTGGAACAACCCATACAACTATATACACTGTTAGTATATGGAATGAGCAAGTTGCTTTGCGAATATTTAGCTTGCAATGCGAGCATGTAATTTTCTCATACTTTTATTGTATCCTTTAATATTTTGGTACAGTAGTATAGTCACAGAAAATTGTAGCAATATTAGAGCAATCATATACTCCGTTGGTATACATGTATACCATATTGGTATCATGTGGTACTAGAAGTCTTTTTTGCTACTTATATTTTTATTGCATTTTCCAATATTTTGTTGTCATTTCTATTCTAACTAGTATATATGGAGATTTAGTGGCCGTAGATTATATTGTCTTGCTCCATCACTGGTTGGTGTTACTGCTAATGGTAGAGTATGTACTAATATTTGTAGGGAAGGAGATCAAGGTTTGCATGGAAATCACGTGGAATTAAAAAAGGAATAAGAAATAAAGAAAAAAATAAAAAAAATAAAGGAGTCAAATTTGAGTGTGAAATAATATGGTAAAAATAACAATAATACGATTTGGGCAAAAATAAATGAATAAAAGAGAAAAAATAAAAAAAAAAAATAGGAAGAAAATGAGAAAAAAGAAAAGGAGAAAAGAAAAGAAAAAAGGAAAAAAGAAAAGAAGCATAGAAATAAAAAAGAATTGGAGAATAAAGAAAAAATTCCCCACAAAAACTACTATGGGTAGGAAATGTAATTAGTGTATGGGTAGAAAAATAAATGGATAGACAAGGATAAATAGTTTTGTTTTTGTGGATAACTATATCAAAACCCCTAAGGGAAACTTTGCCTGCCGAAATTTCTTCATTTGCAACAACTTAAGCGTTGGTGGTTGCCTATACCTTTCACAAGATGTGATACGGCTGTTTACAAGATGTGATGCCCCAATGGGATAGTCAATAATGCAGCCTTTTGGGGAACTCCAACTGACCGTTCAAAAATAGCACAATTTCAAAAGTAATCGAAATTTAGCTACTTTTTATGTAAAGATAAATCTGAGCGAAAACACTGTTTAAAACTCGGAAAATACTCCAGTATATTATGCTGGAGTTCCAGCATAAGTATACTTGAACTCCAGCATATTATACTGGAGTTCCAGGATAGTATGTTGGAAGTCCAGCATAATATGATGGAGTTCCAACATAAATACACTAGAACTCCAGCATAATATACTGGAGTTCCAGCAAGTATAATAGTCCAGTATATTATACTGGAGTTTGGAGCACCAGTGCTCCAGTCTCCAGTATATTATACTGGAACCAGCAAAGTATACCGGTCCAGCATAATATGCTGGAGTTCATACACAAGTGCACCGAACTCCAGTATATTATGCTGGACCGGTCTCTATTGCAGCAAAACGGTGGCTATTTTTCATTGACTTGGTAAACGCTGGCTATTTTTGATTGACCAGTTCGAAAACTGGTGAAATTTTGGCAGCCTTTTGTTGCCTAATTACTAATACCTTAGCAATTGGTCCAAGACACCAAGTGGAGTTGGACAAATGATTCAGTATTTTTTTAATTTTAACATTGTAAATAGCTATGAAGTCTATTTATAAACTTGTTTTTAGTTTTATGATTCTATCTTATTTTACATATAAGAGACCTAAAAAAGGATACGTTCTTAATTCCAATTTTAAATGGCCATGAAGGCCCATTTCCTCTACACAAGTGATGCTATCCAAAACCAAAAGCAAAGCCATCAAAGAAGAGTAATTCCTTTTCAATCTTTCCTATCACATTACATGGTATATAAGGGAAGGAGAAGGAAACTAATGACAGTAGTAAGAATTATTTATCTTCATTTACCTTTACTTCATCACCTTGTTCTATTTTTTATTTTCAACTCTTCACCTTCTACTAATTAGGACAAAGAACTTCAGATGAAGCGTGCAAGTAAATTCCTCCACGTTACGACACGTGTCGTTGCTTACAAAATCACGTTCCGACGTATGGCAAACTGAACAAGATTCATTCTAAGCCTACTACAGATTCTTAAAAAAAACAAATGGTTCTCAGCTTCCCATCTCATCATTTTCCTTAAATTTATTTTTATTCAAAAAATTTCCCTCCTCATAAACTTAAATATATTCTTCAATTACACGCAAAAATATCCAACATTTTCCATTATTTCTGCTTTCTTCTTCATTATTTGTTTATCTTTGATCCATTATTGGCTTAGTTCTTGATTCTTTAGAAGCTGTAAAAAATGGCTCAATTATTGGCACCTGTTTGCACAGATTCCCTCAAATTGCAAAACCCACTGCAGTATTTTTCTTCAAGAAGCAAATGGCCAATTTTGGCTAATAATTTTAATAATCCGAATTGGAGCTCAATTGGTCATTCTGGAAAGAAGAGAGGATTAGGGAGGATTAAAGTTGCTTATCAAGATTCTGCAGCATCTGAGGAAATTGCTGATGATTATTATGCTGTTTTGGGTTTGGTAATTTACAGCTTATTTTCCAACTTTCACTATGTATAGCATTTCTTTCCAATCAGTAAGTTCTTAATAAGAAAAAAAAATATTTTTTTGTATAAGTCCAGTCATTAACTTCTAAAAAAATAAAATTTCACGCTTTTTTTTAGCTGCCTTTTATCTGGATATGCTAATTGAAGCTTTTTTCTTTTTTTTTTTTTTTGCTTTTCATTTTATAATTTCTGTGATTACTTTCAACAAATTAACCTCAAATAATGGGTAAAATTTAACCGCTACTTCAGATGCTCCATTAATTCTCTATATTAACAAAAGGGATGTTAATTATCAGTATTCTGATGCAGGATATGGCAAATGCACATATCTAGTATAATTTTGCCTGTTATGTTTATAGTTCTCTTGCCTGTTTCCTTTATGGAAAATCCGGTACTATGCATTTCTGTAATTAGTTAATACTAGTGAGGCAAGACCATATTTCAATGCAAACAGTAAATTGGAGGCTAAACTATTAGCTACCTTTTTAACTTTTCATGGTCATTATGTTGCCAGCTTCCTGATGCTACACCCGCGCAAATAAAGAAGGCATATTATAATTGCATGAAAGCTTGTCATCCAGATTTGAGTGGTGATGATCCCGAGACCACGAATTTTTGCATGTTTATCAATGAAGTCTATGAGGTGGGGGTTTGACTATTTGACATTATTGCATGTATTTTCTCTTGTGCTTCAATTGCTAATCATTATAGTACTCTAGATTCTTAGTGATCCTGTGCAAAGGAGAGTTTACGATGAGATCCATGGGTACACTGCTACAGCAATCAACCCTTTCCTTAGTGATTCATCGCCGAAAGATCATGTATTCGTTGACGAGTTTAGCTGCATAGGTATTATGTCTCACATTTTATTTACTTATTTTTTTTATTTACTTTCATCTTCCTTAAGGTTCAGTTCCATTTTTCCTGATACTGAATTCTAAAAAGTCATGTTTGTACTAATGAACAAATCTGGTTCTCGGTCATCTGATATGTTAGCTACCTCCAATGGATTTGCAAATCATGCTCTTTTACAAGGCTAGAAAAGCGAGAATGTTTCACGTCTCAATGAGTCTGGAATGCTGAAATAGAAAAAACTTTATAGATTTTGTATAGATTTAGTGCAAAGCGTTATATGATCAGTTCTGATTTGTTTCTAAATTTGTTGAACTATGCTAAGGAAGTTTTGTCAATTCATTAAAATACAAAAAGGAATTTTGCAGCACCTTCTTGAAAAAGTATGATTTAGAACACATCTCTCTCCTTCACAGGCTGCAAAAATTGTGCCAATGTTTGCCCGAAAGTTTTTGGCATTGAGGAAGACTATGGAAGAGCTAGAGTTTACGATCAATCTGGAAACGCTGATTTAATTCAACAAGCTATAGATAGCTGGTAGGTTCTTGCTTTATGGATATAGCTGCTTGTTTTGAACTTCTATATCCATTCTGCTAAAGGCCTAATGTAATTTTGTACTGTCAAGTTTCAAGTAAGAATAGACATAGTTATTGTTTCCTTTCTGGTCTCTCAATGGGGTATGATCCTGATGCAAAGCAAGTTAAGTTGCAAAAAATGATACTGCAGATTCGCAATTTAAAGTGTAACTCTGGAGTTTATACATGTGATGCATCTGTATGCCATCTTGTTTCGTCCGTATGCCGCTATGAGATGTTTCAACAGTCATATTCTTCTTCTATGGAATGGTTATTACACATCCTAAGTTTTAGGTATACATAACTTGAGACTTTAGTTAATCCATTTTGACGACAGTGACTATACTATCTATTTCCCCTCCCATAAGTAGTTACAAGATCAGCATATGAGCTTGTACTTTAGCAGTTTAAGCTATTGAGAAATGAAAAGGAAGAGTGTCTGTTTGGAAGATAGACTAATGTGAATAAGTTTGCTTCAAAATTCTGGACATATCTGCACTGATAGTCTTAACAAAGATTCTTATGCTACATTAGGCTACTTTTTCAAAAGGAAAGGGAAGGAAACTTGATTTATGTACCTATGTCAGATGACTTTGGAGTTCATCCATTGGAAAAAGATTGATGCATACCAAATTGAACTTGTTCAAGGGCTGTAAAATCAACAATGTTGTCGCTTCCTGAATATGGAAGATCTAACTAATCCCTCTCTAAAGCATAGGAGTAGCTCGTTCTGTTCTCTTGGAAGTTACTGTTTCATTTGCCAATACTTTTTGACTGTTTTATGATCCTTAAGTTTTGTACTTCTGCTTTATCCATCTAACGAATTTGTAGGAGTGAATGATATTGCTAGTCAAATTACTAGTTATTTCTCTTTGCAGCCCAGTTGATTGTATCCATTGGACTTCTGCTGCACAACTATCTTTGCTTGAGGATGAAATGCGAAGAGTAGAAAGAGTAAATGTGAGCTAGTTTCTCACTTAATTTGGAAATTTCATCTCCAAAGCACATTAGTTTATATTCCTTTATGATTCAGCTGCACTAAAATGCTTGATAACTTCATAAGTTGTTGCCCTGATGAATTCTACTCGGAGGGTGTGTAATTTAGATGACAATAACCTAAAATGATGATTTTTGTTGACTGAACTTGCCTAGTCACCAAAATTTTTAAAGGTGAAGTAATCAAATACTGCTTTAATCATGTCATTTAACTCTAGGCAACAATGAAAGTTGTAGTAATCAAAATACCTTGGATTCTCCTTGAAAGCTAGTATAGTGGCTTTCACTAATCAGGCAACCCGAGAACTAGAATATCATGGGCAGACTACTCTTATTTGCTGAATTAGCTAAGTTTGTGGCCTAACAAATGGATATGAGTTTACGTTTCTAGCAGATATAACACTCTCTCTTGGCTTGGGATCCTTTTGAATTGCTTGAAGCTGAAAGGTGATGTTGAAGGTGAATGTTTTAGCAGGTCTGTAGGTTTTGATAAGATATAAAAGTATTATGTGGATGTAATCGTCGATTATTCAGATATAAAAGGACTATATGGAAGTAACAGAAGGCTACTCAGACTAGTCGCAGACGAATGCTTTTGATGTATTGCACTCGTTTATAGATAAAATTAAATATGCCACTTCCTTTCTCTCATGTTTGGAGATGGTATTCTATGATACATCTAGATTACTGATTATCCAAATATTTGCTTAAGTTTCTGCATTAGATTTTAATGACTTTATCAGCTAAATAAATATGATTCTGGAGTTCTCAAATTCCTTGATCTTGTTTGATCTTCCTTTTAGCTTGGTATTGAGTGTAACATGCGTATTTTATGTGTCAATAGGTTGCCTTCATGCTTTCAGGAATGGGCGGTGGATCAGTGGATGTTTTCAGAATGGTATTCCATAATTCTATTTTATGTCTCTTTTGTCGGTTCATTTTGTGGGGTTACACTGGGTTTGTTGTTGTTGTTGTTGTTAACAATATCATGAAATTTTTGGCCTTTAAAACGTCCATAGTCTAATTGCAGCTTTACAACGTTCCATGTTTTTGTATAATGGCTTTGAATGAATTTATCTTCTATTTTAGTATCTTTTTCGGGATTCACATCGAAGAACCTTGGGAAGAGTTGCAGTTGGAACTTATTCTATGCTTGAAATATTTAATGCTTCAGTTGCAATTATACTGGAAGAAAGGAGATTAATGCTCTTAGATGTTTGATAATCTAAGCTACAGATATATTATGAGTTTAGCAAGAACGAACTAGGTTGTAATCAAATCGAATTACTCGAGATCGAAATAAGATATCTACATGTGAGAAGTGCTTGATTAGGTGTTTAATCTTTGCTAAATATATATCCCAAAGATTTTGTCTGAGCAAATATTTGTTCGTTCTCATATAGTTTAGATGGAAATTAGTTCGTCAAGAGAGTTATCATCCATGAACATATATTCTCATACCAGACTCAATTTGAAGAATTCTATTATCAGAAATTATCATTGATCGATCAGTTTCAAGAAATCATTTTTTCAGGCATTTGGGGTTTAGAGGAAGTTAGTCATTATTTAAGTCTACTGAATAGGATGTTGTGCAATACATCCACAATTTTCTTTTTCTTTTTAAGTTTCCCCTTGTGAAAATTGGAAATGTTATTTTCACATGATGTCTATAACTGTTCTGTTCTTCAATTTATGGAAACCACCATTAGTTCTGTTTTCTTGTTTGGACTTGTTGGAAATGAAGGAGATTCTTAGCAGTGAAACTATGGTTTGTAAACACTCTAGAGATCAGTTTTACAGTCGGCTGGATTATCAAGTTGTTTTTAGGAACCTGTTCTGATTATGAATCTCTGTGCAGTTTAAGTTCACCTAATTATTTACTCTTCTCCAATTCTCTTCACACATTTATATCATGTCAAAACACTTTATGATGCAGGCAAGCATTCGGTGGGAAAAACGACAATCTAAAGTCCTGGTAAGAGCTCCTGGCCTAAGTTTAAAGTATATGTCTAACTACCTTGTAATATGCATATTTAAGTTTGTTTGTTTAGCTTATGTTCAAATATCTCGAATTGCTTTTTAACCTATATTTCAGACAGTGGTATGTATCGTGTTGCAAATGGTTTACTTTTATGCATATTCCAGACTTTTTTTGGTTGTTCATGCATTAGGAAGTATTAATTTTAGTAAACGTAGGCATGATGCTGCAATTTCCTCTATTGTTTTGTCCATCTTTCTCTCCTTTTGAGCAGTGCAATTTCCGTGGCTATATGTATTGCTTTGAATTTTATTAGTTAATGGGAGAGTTATCTTAGTGATATATTGCTATCAAGATTGGTAAAGGTGGGCTTGTCAGTCTGTTTAATGGTGGGGCATGTAAAGTTGTTTCTACATGAGATTTCATACTCGGTTTTGTGCTCCTCTTGATACGTGTAGCATCGTGATTAGACGGAAAACTGGTATAACATGTAAGCTATTGCAGGAACAAGCTAAAATCAGAATGATGAAGAAGAAAGATTCTGAGAAACCTGAATCATACTGGGACAATCTATGGGGCAATGCTAAAGACTATGCAAATACAGGTACGGAAAACAAACCTATAGGAATTTGCTAATGTACATTATCTCCAAATAACCTAATTTGATTTGGTTGCTGCAGAGGAAGAAGTGGAAGAAAGAACAAAACGAGCTGCAGTAGCTGCTCGAAGATGGAGAGAGTACTCAAGGAGAGGCGCTGATAAACCTCCTACCTTTAAACTTCCGGAGGCCATCTCCAATGACAATTGACGTACTACGTCCTAACCGACTTTCTAGCATATGGTACATGCATCTCACCTTTGTAATATATGGTTGTATATGATTGATGCATTTAGATATAGTCTATTCTTGATAGTCGCGGCTCAATGTAATTATATACCCAAAATTAAGCTCTGTATGTCTATCTGTATGTAATAGTTAATCATAATTTAACAATAGTTATCCATTGTCTTATTACCGTGTTGTTGCTATTGTTTCTCTATTGCTTCATTTTTACTGTTCTTGAGCCGAGGGTCTTTCGGAAACAGTGAGTCTACCTTCATAAGGTAGGGGTAAGGTATGCATACACACTACCCTCCCCAGACCCCACTTGTGGGATTTCATTGGGTTTGTTGTTGTTGTTGTTGTTGTTGTATAAGGAGAAAATAGAGAAAACAATTATCCAACCTGTGTAGTCGATGCATGTTATTCGTGATTAATGGTTCTATTCTATCTGATTACCTTAGAGTGCAATCAATAAAATCTTTCATTTTAGCACCAGAAGTGGAAATATCCCTCTTCTGTGACAGTACATACCTGCTGCCTCTGTACAACAACAACAAGCCCATAGTAATCCCACAAGTGGGGTCTAGGGAGGGTAGTGCTGCGCCTCCGTGACTTGATAAATTGAATAGTATTTTACACAAGGCAACCTGTTTGTGTCATGAACTGCTCCTTTTGCAGTCTGGACTCTGGAGTAAGCTAATAATGGCTTGCACTGATCCTCTTGTTTTGACATAGCACTGAATGCAAAATTCCTTAGCGCACCCCCCCAATCCCCCCGCCCAACAAAAAAAATTAATAATAATAAAACCCGGGGGACCTTGTCCAATTGACAAGTTTATATTAATATGTGGTTGGAATTTTTAAATGATAATACTTTGTGTGCTATATCTTATCCATCATACAAATACAGAATGGAAGAGCCAGAATATCCTTTAATATTCTCAGTTGAAAAGGGGAAGCATGACTCGAACTTGAGTTGTTTTATAAAGAGCAGTTTTTTAAATCTAACTACTATTTTGTATGTTGACTTTGGTAAGTATATTAAACAAAACAAAATACTCCATAAGTTTAGCATGACTATTATTTTAACAAAAGGTTGTTAAAGCATATCGTTTACCTACTACCCCCCTTTCTGGGGCCTTTTCTTTTGTTCTCTCCTCTAGTTGACCATGTTTTAAAATTAAACACATTTAGCCTGTAGATGAAACTGTGTAAGTATTATCATGATATACTGCTTCAAACAAATGCACAGTTCCGCCTATCAAACAAGGACAAGAAAAAAGAAAAATAAAAATTTGCAAGATAAGATGTTGAGAACTTTATTAAAGTGTGAGATTATCTTGAGTACTTGGACTTGTTGGAGAGTGATGTTGATGTCACAATTTGTTATGCAAAATTGGAAACAATTTATCTACATTTAAGATAAGATCTGTGTACACATTACTCCTAATTTGTTATGTCAAACTGGTTGTCGCAGTCATAGTTGACTATTATGTGTCCTTGGTTGATGTTTTAATATTGAGAATTGTAGTAATATTTGTCATCATAATTCTTATCTTTTTCTTGGTGGTATCACTTGTAACTTGTTGGTATATCACTTTCACTTTCACATTATTGGGATTGGTGGATAGGAAGGGAGGGTGAAGCTTATACTTGAAATTTCATGTCAACTGAAATAGAAGCTTTTGGTACATTGTCAAATAACGCGATGCTTAAATGGAGAAGTAATGATTCGTATAGTCAGTTCCAACTAATTGATTGTAGTTTGCTGAATTGTCAAATAATAATGAAGCTCGTGTATTTTGACATCTTTGAGCTTACAACAAACTTGAAAATTTTCATAACAAATTATGCAACTGTCTGTAAACCCTTTTAGCTGTTTAACTTTTATCCTTTTCTTTTGAGTCTTGAATTTCATTTCTCCATTACATCTGCTGAAAATAAATCGTGGCCAGTCTGTAAATATTCCTTGTCAAACCAGAAAGTATCAAAGAGCTTCAGATTTTTTTGCCTTCTAAATAGCTGCCATATATGCGCATTTGGAAAAGAGACCTTTGTTCCTACCGGAAATCTTGTAAAGTTTGTCGTATCTACGTGTACACGCACATCCACGTACATTAATATCACTAAGCATATATTATTCGAATCTCATTAGGGGTTGTTTAGTACACGTTGGTCTAGAAGAATAAAATAATTTATGAGTTTTAATTCAGTAAAATATTTTACACACTTAGGTCTTCCGTACGGTTGTATTGGTCTAAATTTGGCGATTAGGTAGTAAGGGATAAGTGAGATCAAGGACGGGGTCAACCGCGGTGTAGTAACTAAAGGTTGCTCTCGAGAGGGCTGATGCCAAAGACGTGCAGCTAAGATGAAGAAATAACAGTAGCATAGGTTCAGATATGGATACAAGGAATATTCCTTTGGATATTTCTTAATTTGTACTTCTTAGGGTTTTTGGGATATATCCCCTATAAATCGGAGGAGATAGAAAACAAAAAGGGTATCTTCACTTTATGAGAAAAACACATTGTAAAAGGTTGACCTGAGAGAATACACCACAGTTGTCTTGTTCATTGATTATTCAAGCACACGTTTTTGCTTCTTTACTCACAAGATCCAAAGATTCTTCAACCCTCTTTGTTACTCTTTTCTCCACACTACTGTCAGGGAAAAGAGTCATCCAAGTCTTACAATAATTGGGTGATAGATTCCTTTTTGTTATATTCATTGTCATTATCTACATTTAATGCACATTTATGTTACTGCATTCATGAACATTTAATCAGCACAAACACACTGATTAACGTCGTTTATCTTACCGCTTCGCATAATACTTGGTCTAGATCTTATTATTTTTAACTAAGATTTACCCTTTATCTCATCATTAATTGATTTAACTGAAAGGTTCATCACTTTTTTGGTCAAACAATTTATCGCCGTCTGTGGAGACTTTTTAGTTAAAATTTTAGTTTCTTCTAGATAAAAAAAAAAGGGACAACCATCTTTTCCTTGTTTGCACAAACTAACAATGACAGGAAAAGGAGATGAAAGGCAGAAAGCAATAATGGGTGTCACTACCAACATCTTAGACACCATCAACGAGGATGACAGAGGAGGCGATGAGAATGTGACACCAACTGCCACACCCAGGCGGGTTGATTCACCTCCTCCTCACGCAAATGTAATCGCCTCACGCGAAAGGGGAGCTTCCACATCCACGACTGAGGAGGCACCACCAGCAGTGAAGAAGTTATTGGAGGAGTGGCTGACAAGTACCCTCAATGACATACTCGACAAATCCGTTCAAAGGGCGAACCGAAATGCCGCGCCAGCAGATATCATAACGACCACCAGCGAGCAACCAGCTCCCCTAACAGGTAACACTCACACCATTGTTGATGCAGGCAATGATGCGCTGACAGCCATTTTAAAGAAAATGAAAGAAATGGAAAACGAAAATAAGGCACTCCGCGACCAGATGAGAGAACATCAAGAAAGGGTCGATAAGATACCGGGCGCCCCGAAACTGCTACCAAAGCGGGATGTCCGTCGAGAATGAGCTTACCTAATGTATCGGAGGGGATGGCGGTAGCAGCCTTCCAAAACGGGTTGAACAGGAATGGGTCGAGGGCGACCAGGAAATTGTTAAGCAGGCTCATGAAATACCCTCCCACCACCTGGGAGGAAATCCACAACGCTTACTGCGTCGAGGTGAGAGCAGATGATGACGATCTTAACGGTCCAACCCAGCGTTTAACATCAATCCAAACAGAGCCGAAGAAAGACCGTCGTAATGACAGTCGAAGAGATCTATCAGGCCCACGCCTCAATCGAGACAGGCATCAACCCTATGTCAGAACAACCATTCCACCACCTCCTCGACATGCGGAAGGGACGTCCAGACCCCACACAGGGACTCAGCGAAACGAAAGAGGTATGCCTCCACTCTTGTCCGCTCACAATTTTTGTGTTTCTCCTTCAAAAGTAGTGTACGCACTAGAGAAGCTTGGCACAAAGGTGAAGTGGCCGCAAAAGATGAAGTCCGACCCAAGTACCCGAAAGTCGAACGTCTTTTGTGAATTTCACCAGGAGCGGTGTCACAAAACCGAAGATTGCATAGCCCTACGGCAAGAAGTAGTAAACATGCTAACCAAGGACACCTGAAGGAGCTGATGAGTGATCGAGGACAAGCCAACTTTAGCCGTGGACGAGAATAACACCAAGGCCCTCCAAAGCCGCCCTCTCCTACCCGCACCATTCAAATGATCATCAGCGGGGGCGACGAAATAGAAATCAACCACATAAAGTTTACCACCACGCACAAGCTAAAGCAGTCAATCACCCACGAGCGGTATGCTTCTCCAGGCCGAGCGTTGAAGGGACTGGATACATGAAAACTTCTCCAATATATGTATGAAACGAAGGACATATGTAATATTCTCCAATGAATAAAATAAAGCAGCATTTTTACTATCCACCAAGATATTCTCCAATAAATGAAATAAAACGAAGGACATATGTAATATTCTCCAATGAATTAAATAAAGCAGCATTCTTACTCTCCACCGAGATATTCTCCAATAAATGAAATAAAGCAGCATTTTTGCTCTCCACCAAGATATTCTCCAATAAATGAAATAAAGCAGCATTTTTGCTCTCCACCAAGATATTCTCCAATAGATGAAATAAAGCAGCATTTTTACTCTCCACCAAGTCATTTCGCATCTCACATTCGACCTCGCTCAAATCATTTACATTCGACCTCGCTCGAATTGTTTCACATTCGACCTCGCTCGAATTAACACATTCAAGCTCGCTCGAATCATTTTACATTCGACCTCGGTCGAATTGTTTCACATTCGACCTCGCTCGAATTAACACATTTGACCTTGCTCAAATTGTTTTACATTCGACCTCGCTCGAATCGTTTAACATTAGACCTTGCTCGAATCATTTTACGTTCGACCTCGCTCGAATCGTTTAACATTCAGCCTTGCTCGAATTATTTTACATTCGACCTCGCTCGAATTACTTTGCATGCGACTCCGCTCGAAGTCTCCAATGTCTGACCGCGTCGAACATTAATCTTATCAAAAAATCAGGGACTTTCCCACATAAAAGAAAAGAGAGAGAGAGCGGAAATCAAGAAACACGTAGCAAAAAAGGGG